ATTGATGATTACAAATATTCAATAAAAATGATGGTTTATTCTCTGATATTATTTTCCCCTTATATATGTTGGTCCTATACAAAGGTTAGTACATAAAAAATTTCATATTTTTACATCAAAATCATATATAGTTTTTTTTTTTCTTTTCTATATACGTTTACTGTTGGGTATTGATGGATCGAACAAAACACCTTCAAACACTTCAAATAGGGACAACTTCTGAAACATGGTTAGTTCACAGTTATAATAACTTATTGCCAACGAATTAAATGAAGATTTCAAAGCAGTAAATGAGGCAAGATGTTTGGTAACTCGATTCGGTTATGAACCAACCTACATTCGGATATTTCAATTCAGGAGAGAATTTACTAATAATATTGATTATATAATATAAACAATCACAACTCCTTCAACTCAAACTCATATCATGGTTTATCTTGAAAAATATCTCCACATGTTCCCTTTGTCACAAACGCGTACTAACACCAAATAGCAAAGTAGCTAAAAGCCTTTAACTTCGGTTACCATCAAACTCTCCAGCGGATTATAGTGTCAAACATTCATTCAAACTGAAGAGAATCGCTGTGGGTGGAGGGTGAGAACTTCGCACATTTTTTCTCTTTCTAAAGCATATTCTCAAACTTACTCAGAATTAACTTTCCAACCTATCCAGTTGTGTTACTTGTGTATATACATAGCAGCCTTGGAATGTGAAATTCCACGTTAATTTCTCTTAGCATAAAAAATGATGATGTGAGTTTTCATAGATGGTTTGACATTTCCTTAAATACCCATTTTTTCTTTTATAAATATTTAATGAATAAGACAAATTGAATAATGTCAAATTCATACATCAGTCTGCAGCACGGTTGCAGTAGCAACACTTTTTGCAACATCAAATTACTATAAATGAAAAGACTTGCTGCAAGAATGAAAAAAACTTTTGTCCATATGCCAAAATAAACTTAAGGATATTTTCATTCACATTTACTCTTGTTTGTATTTCGAAATCAAAGAGAAGCGAGTCGATTATCCCATAATTAATTTGTATAATCTAATAATATGTGATTGAAATATAATTTTAAAAAATGTGTTTAACCACTATTCATATCATTTATCCAAATTTATAATTGTTTTTATTTTTATATCCAAAAAAAGTAAGAAAAAAAAGAGTCCAATATAGATACGCATTCAATATTTTAGCGTACCGAATTTTTTTGCCGGTATTCCAAAAAAACATTTGTCCTATATCAATTTTTTTTTTTTTTTTACAATAACAATATTTAATTTTGGCATTTTGAAAATTTTCATTGACATGCCTAAAAAGAAGATATATATATATATATATTTGATACAATATCCGTATTTAATTTTGACATAAAAGAAAAATCGCCATATTGGAATAAATATTTATTTCTAATACATTTTGCCTAGAGACATATATATATATATAACAAAAATTACGGTGCTGAACATATTGACAGTATATTGTGTATTAACGGGCAGTATACAATATTATTATATATAGCACGTCATATATATTAATATAATACAAACACAGTGTGTCAATTATTAGTTTACGATACAATTCCACATAACACATGTAATGATTGATTTTAACACGTAACTTCCGGTGTATATATGTAGTGTGTTGTTGGTATACTACGTGTCGTGCAATAATGACGTAGAGAAATTCCACGTGTGATACTAACGAACCTCCCCGGTTGTCTCACAAAATAATTAATATTAGAATTAATTTGTGATTAATACTCACGCATTCGGACATGATACAAGAGTCGCTATTAATTACGGGAGAGCTAGACTTGGTGTGCCATAATAAATGCACAACGGCCGAGCCGATATCCATCTTTGACCAAGGCCATTTTCGTCATTTCAGCTTCTTAAATAATTATTTCCTAACAACTATTTTACCCATTGCTCCAAAATAACCGAAATAAATAAATAAACAATAGTGAAAAGAAGAAGTGCAAGAATATTTGAACAAATTTGCAATATATAAATAATATTCGCTCGGTCTATAATAAGCTTATCTATTTACCTTTTACGTCATTGTACTTAACGTTAAAAATATATTTATATTTGTATAATGTTTTATATAAATATCATTATATTAGTATTATAAGATACTAATAGAAATATTTTTGCAATTTTTTCTTGATTTGTAATACGTTTTGATATAATAATTAATATCCAAACATCAATATGTAAAAAGTAAATGGATACTTAATTATGAGACGAAGAGAGTAGTATACTCTAATTTATAAAAAATTATGTAGAGAATAAAATATAATATATATGTAATATATTAATTTTTTTGAAGATATGTATAAATTCTTTCTAAAAAAGAACAGAAATTTTTTGTATTAATACGGAGATTATTTTTACTGTACCAAAAAGTATATAGATTGATTGGAGTATTATTATTATTATTATTATTATTATTATTATTATTATTACTATATTTTATTTTAGTTTTAAGAATTTCACTAGACATATATTATATTATTTAAATAAAAATGAAAGTAGAATTAAATTTTAAAAGAACACATTCTAAAAAAAATTGAATAAAAATAAGTGTTAATTATATATATATTTTTTAATATATGTATATGATCAAATAGTAAAGATGATTTTAAAAATATTTTACTAAATACAGAATTAAATGGGCACAAGGTTTGTATCTAAAATATAATGTTTTAATTAATGAGAAGAAGTAACCACGTTATTTAAGGGAACGCTTTTATTTTTGAAAATTGACGAAGAACTTTGAAAAAGTAAATATAATTATTCAATTAATATATTTATATATATATATATACTTATAATATGCTGTTGACAATAGTCTCAACGAAATAAATAAATAAAATTAAATTACATAGGAAAAATTTAAATAAATCTCAATAGACATGTTGACCAGCAATTATAATTAATAACTGCAACAACTCATGAATATTAATTTTAAAAACAAAGGGAAGGGATATAAATCAAATTAAATGAAATACCACAAAATAATATATAATATATAATAGATTTAAATAATTGTGTGCTGCAAGCTAAGGCAAAGGCAAGAGATGGTATAAATCTTGCATTCTAAGAGGGCATCATATCATTGTCACATGCAGCTGCACCATTCTTTGCTATCTTTCACAGTTACAATAATTATAATATATATATATATATACATACATATGTATACATGTAAAATTTGAGTAGGAAAAATCAAAATTATATACTCATTTTTGTTTGTATTTATTTTCTAATTTAGTAAAAATAATATCACATACAATAAAAATATATTGATATTTCACTTAATATTACAATCATACTAATTTATATATCAATTACACTTTCGATGATCGGATTTTAGTCAACGTACTCTTACATACTATCCCTTACATATAAAATATTAATATTTAGTCCCATAAGGGATAGTCTGGTAGTGTGGAGGTTGGACACCTGCCACGCATGATTCGCATATTTTCGGATAGCGACCGCAGGATCTCACGTCATAAAAAAATAATAATAATAAATAAAAAATGGGATGAAGTTGTATTAATTAGGAAGTCTGCAGGCACAAGGAATAACCCCAATGCCCTGCGTATCCTATTTCGGCTAATACCCCCCCATGCATGCTGTCCGCCATTGCTTATAAATACATACATACAATGATTTTCTTCCAATTTGAAAGGGATGACATGTACATGTGTACATTTATATATGTTTAACTGTTTTTTTTTTCTTTTTCTTTTTAAATTGAGAATAAGAAATTTTAGGGGAAAAATCGATATTTGATATTTAATTAATTTGATGTAAATAACTGTTTGATTTTAAATAGTTAAAACACTTTTTTAATGAAATGTTATCTAAATTATTTGTGGCGTCTCAAATCTTTTGCTCTTATTTATAATTTAAATTCCAACATTTTTTTGTAACTAATTTTTAAATTAATTATACACAAATTTTATTATTTTAGATATAATTTATGAAAATATTCTAAACAAGCAAAATAAATCAATAAAAGAATACATTCGTGTCACCAAAAAGAATTCAACTAATTTCAAGACAATATAAATATATATATATATATATAACATTAAATAATATGTTTCCATTGAACTCAAGTGCCAAATTGTCCAGTAGCAATCAGATTTAATTTAAAAATTAAACTAATTTGGACACAATAAATATATGAATAGAATCAAAATATAACCTAGAAACTCAAGTGTACTTTTCTTAGTTGATGATCAATTTAAATGTATGCGTGCGATATATATGATCAATATAAATGAAAACCAATTAACACGTACATTTAATGATAGTTCATAACATAAACAGGAAAGTGGGTGTGAGCAAAATTACAGCAGACAGTTTTAATTTTAGGAGAATAATAATTAACAATAACCCCACTGTTGTTACTTATTACAGTTTGAATAGAAACAAAAATAAATAAAATTATATACACAGTATATTATTGGTCAATGTTTGTCTTTACGTTGGTAGTTTTGCATTAACTATAGCTGTATGATTATCATGAGCAACATAATGACTGATACACTATTACACATATACATACATATATATATATATGTATATTTAATTCAGTGAGCGTACAGATACTGTTCCAAATCAAAATTTCATTCTATTGTAGAAAAGTTAGGGAGGGGTGAATATTTCTTTACAGTACTGGGACTGATTTCTTGCCAACAAACACACAGACAGACAAACATATATATATATATATTATATGTATGTATATAATTTGTTTGTCCTGGTTCGATCGATCTCATCTTATTTCAATATCCCCCACTGTCTGACACACACACTGCTCTCTCTGCTGTATGTATATGGCGTAAACTTGATGCCTCGTAGTAGTGCAAGCAAAGCAACCCACCCCCACTTTTAATTTTTTTCCTAAATCTCAAAAATAAATGAAGAACGAGGGTGGGGGTGGGGGGGGGGGGGGGGGATTGAGGAAAAAAGAAAATGCTTTTATCTTTTCTTTTTTTGGTTTTAAGAAGGGTTCTTTAATTTTTTTGGTTCACAACTACTGGTATAAGCTCATGTTTAGTGCTTCATTCAGTTCCTGCAAAAGGCTCTCTACTCTCTACTCTCTCTCACTCTATTTCTTTCTTCTCTCTCTAAATTAGTTCTTCTTTATCTCTTCTTCTTCTTCTTCCTCATATGTATGTTTATGGCAAATAGCTCGATTTTGTTGGGCTAAAACCCTTGGCCATTTGGGTAAAGCTTTTGTTCGACATTCAAGTGGGGTTTTAACTTATGAAAGCAGCAGAAACAGTTGTACTTCTGTGAGTTTACAGTTGTTGAGGGCCTAACCTAATTTACTTCTTCTTTCTTTCTTTCTTTCTTTCTTCTTCGTATTCTTATTTTCTTTGTCCCTTTAATAATAAGAATAATAGTTCTTATCTTTGGTTTCAGGTATTCATCCCTGAGTTTTGTCCCCAAGAAATTTGGATAGACAAGTGTGGACAAAGATTCAGGTTTTTCATTTACTCTCTTAGCTACTTCAATCATATTTATTTATATATATATATATATATTTAAAATAAAAATAAAAATTGATGGGACATGAGTAAGCAGCTTCCATGGCTGTTTAATTTGAGTGGGTCGATACAGTGGTAATAAAGAAAGGATGAATAGGCAAACATAGCCAGATATGATGATGATGATTTGCTTTTCTTGTCTTTTTTTTTTTTTTTTTAAATTAGGGGCGACAATTCTTGAGAAAAATAATTTATTTATTTATTTATTTGTTAAGTCAGCCATCATCACTTTTAAGATTAATCATTTTTAGGGCATTCTCTAATATCGCAGGCAAACCAATCCTGACCAGTTTCGACCCTTTTGGTCTCCAAAGACACAGCACATTTGCCAAAAAGGGCAAAAATGGAAATTCGCACCCAAGACGACGAAATTCCGATCCCTCTCAATAGCTCCTACGGCGGCGGCGCCGCCCCTCACATCATCCACCACGATCATCATCTGAATCTCCACCACCATCACGACGCCGCTGCATCCGCCGCCGCAATCACTTCCACAACCATCACCGCCACCACCACCGGCGGCGGCCCCCTCATCCCCACCACCTCCGACGACCAGACCGCCGTCCTCCCCTTCAAGAAAACAATAAAATACCGCGAGTGCCTCAAAAACCACGCCGCCGCCATGGGGGCCAATGCCACTGACGGCTGCGGCGAGTTTATGCCCAGCGGCGACGACGGCACCCTCGAAGCCCTAACCTGCTCCGCCTGCGGCTGCCACCGCAATTTCCACCGGAAAGAAATCGACGGCGAGCCCCCCGCCGCCGCCTGCGACAATTGCACCTTCCACCCCCGAATCTCCGGCCGGAAGCTCTTCCTCCCCGGCGGCCCCCACCACCCCCACCCCCACCCCCACAAACCCTACCTAACCCCCGAAGCCATCGGATACCACCATCCTTCCGGCGCCCTCATGCCCTCCCGCGCCGTCCCGCCCCACCACCATATGCTAATGTCGTACAATCTCGGCGGCGGCGGCGGTGGCGGTCCTTCCGAATCCGACGACCAGGACGACGCCAACGGCGGCGGTCTCCGGCCCCCCCAAATGGTGAAAAAACGATTCCGGACAAAATTCACGCAGGAACAGAAAGATAAAATGCACAATTTTGCAGAGAAAGTTGGGTGGAAGATTCAGAAGCAGGAGGAGGCGGTGGTGCAGCAATTCTGTCAAGAAATTGGGGTAAAGAGAAGAGTTTTGAAGGTGTGGATGCACAACAACAAACATAATCTTGCCAAGAAGATGAATCTCCAACAAAACCCTCTAAATCAAAATCAAAACCAGACAGGAGAGTGAGTGATTGAGTCAGTTAGTGATCCATTACATCCTCGAATTCTTCGTCGAATATTAATTAATTCAATGAAAAAAAATGAGCAATAAAATTAAAATATATATATATATATGTGTATTTATGTGTATGTATTTTGATGGATATGGATTTTGATATCGATCGGCGGCATTGCTTTTTGGGATCAACTAATCTTTAATTTGTTCAGTTTTATTTCTCTACGTTTATTTTTTTGTTTTGGACATTTTGGGATCTGTCGAGCTCGGACCAGCTTTTTATGGTGTTTTTAGATCTGCTGCATTGCATTTGGAATAGCCTTTTTTAAAAATATATATATTATAATTAATTAGGTCTATTTTTTAAAAAATTCTTCACGCCTCCTTTATACAAAGAAAGACAAAAGGAACTAATTTCACCAATTCTTTTTTAAAAAATTATTTCCTTTTGATATTTTTCAGTTTGAATTTGCTCCCTCGACACACCATTTATGTTCCCTTTTGTTTTCCATAATGAATTAATTAAATAATATAATGGGAAGATATTTTCATTAACGGACACGATGTTTTATTTACTTATGTCTTGAAATTGGTTCATAATTTCATTAATATTTTCTTTAAAAAAATAAAAAAAAACAGATGAAATACATATTTTTATTTAAAAATATATAAAAAATTTATGTTATATTAAAACATCTTTTGAACATATCAAAACGCAGTCCAAAATTGAAGAGCAATCAATCATTTCATTTCAATTTTTTTTGGCAAGTATGGTTGGCAGGCTGCCAGGTTTAATCTAATTAATATCTAATATTTATGAAGCTAACCATAATATTAATTACTTCATCTAATTAATTAAAGGGTAGATATGTAGTCATTAAATATTTCTCATATTCACTCATGCTACAATTAAATCCATTTCAAGAATTGATTTCTATTTTGCTCAAACATATCTACATTACCAACAACACAACCAAACTTCATATAAGCATTAATGAGACTTGTGGTCCTACCTCTTAATTGGCTATGGACTTTTGACTTCAAATTTAAGGGTTTTATTTTTTTAAATAAAAAATATATTTCCCCTCTAAACTAACTAAATTATGAACATGAATAGTATGGGCCCAATAGAATGTGGGTTTTGGACTCTCACTCTCATTGGATATAAATGTTTGTAATTTAAAACAAAAACATAAAACCCTTTTCTTTTTTTTTTTTCATCTAGGCATGTTCTTGCATTGCGTAGGCTTTTATTAAATTTTTTTAAGAAATGAAGGCATGCTCAAAGACTTTGTCACTTTTTTTTTTTTTTTTTCTCAATCAATTTTTACATGAAAATAAGGAAGCAATATTTTGTGGTCCTTTTTTAGGCCAATTTAAGGCACTTGTCATAATTTGATAAGTTTGTCCTATTAGTTTGAGTCCAATAGCACATCTGTCCTATTAGTTTGAGCCCAACAATTGTCAACTATAGCATTAATTTATAAAGATGAAAATATTTATAAATTTGATAGGTTAGGAACTTTCATTTCACTTAAACACTACTCTCTTATGCAGATCTTATTGCATACGTATATTTTTCACAATATATATATATATATATAATTAAAATAATAAAATTTTAAAATTTGATGAAAAAAAACAGAGCCAATAAATTTTAGTTGACCCCAATTGACTGAGGAGAACAAGTTTTGAAAATAATGGAAAATCAGCGCCACGCCTAACATGCTTTCTCAAAATATTCTCCATAAATACTCCATCTTCATCCCTTCTCCAAATTTTGTCTATTCTCTGTATGTGATTTGTGCTCCAGACTGCTTCATTCCACAGACTCGGGTTTTGCAGGAGAATTGCAAATGTCGCTTCATTTCTTGCCTTCGCCAAACCTTTCCTTGTTTTCTTGTTCCTATTCAACCAAGCCATTGGTTTTCGGAGCTACTATTCGATACCCAATCAAATTCGGCTTCCCACTTTCTCGAAACTCCAATCCTTCGCACACTGGCTTTGCTTCCATCAAATGCCTCGAGAAATTCAGATCTTTCAAAGTCAATTGTTCGGCAGAGACCGCCGAGGTTTTTTGCTATTTGGGCGTCTGGATTTGGTTGAATGTTAATTGCTTTGTTGTAACAATTTTGATTCGATTGACAGGGCGCTGATGCAGCTGTCAAGGAGAGGAGCGTGTCGGTTGTTCTACTTGCCGGCGGGAAAGGCAAAAGGATGGGCGTAAGTCGTATAAATTCTGCCTGGATTCGACAATGTAAATTTATGATATCCATTCGAGAAGAAGATTGATTTCTTCCGATTTGAGTCGCAGGCGAGCATGCCGAAGCAGTATCTTCCACTCTTAGGGCAACCAATTGCTCTGTACAGGTAGCAGCTACAGATTTAATATCTTCAATTCGATAACTAAGAATGCCGAACATTTGGTTTGCTTAGTGAAATTGAAGTAATATCCTGCAGTTTCTACACTTTCTCGAAGATGCCTGAAGTGAAGGAGATTGTTGTTGTTTGTGATCCTTCTTATCAAGACATTTTTGAAGGTGTGAGATGCTGTGTAGTATTAGCTTGAGCAATTGATTATTAGTGTTTGTCCAATCGAGCTATTGAAATTGATGTCGATAGAAATATGTGCACGGTTTCAGATGCCAGAGAGAATATCAGAGTGGATTTGAAATTTGCATTGCCGGGGAAGGAGAGACAAGATTCAGTATATAGTGGATTAGAGGTATATGGATAGCTTCTCAGGCTTTTTAGTTAGTTGTTTGTGGCCCTGATTTCTCATGGTCGTTAGTTATTTGTTGGATATATTGTCTTCCCTATTACTAAAGTCTTGTTTGATTTGTAGACTCAAATATCTGAAAAACTCCTAAGTTGAAAGCTTAGTACAGCATTGCTGCAATTCTGCTTAGCATGAAGATAAATTGTTTGTAAAAAATGAGTCCGCTATACCCCGCCCTCTACTAAATTCTTAGCTTTACTGAATTATATCAAGATCACTCTTAGAACAGTTTAACTTCTGCAGATAACTGTTGAGTTTTGTGGTTCAATTGTTGTCTACGCGCGCGGTGAAGATTATAGACCACTCCCTAATAATAGCTTGTGATGGTACTAGCTCTTTATTTGATTTGTGTGGATTTTGTAGGCAATTGATTCGAATTCTGAGCTTGTGTGCATCCATGATTCTGCAAGACCTCTCGTGTTGGCTGCAGATGCAGCCAAGGTATGTTTGCTTTATACACTCCATATTGTTCGGTTGCTCAATTAAATACATTTTATAAGACTCTAAAATGCATGTGTTAAATTTCTATTCGAGTAATTATTTTAGGTAGGTCCGTATATTGTTGACACTAAATTGTTCTGTGGTAATTATGATTTAAATACCGGAACCATATATCAACCTAAGGTAATATATTACGGACGCCATACCTTCAATCTGTATGTTAAACTCCATTCGAAAGCCTTGACTTATTTTTGGTTAATTTAGCCAATGCATCTGAGAAGAATGACATTACTGGTCTTGAACTTAATGTCTGCTCGTACTTGCTCTATTTTTCTTTTTCGCTTCCACCAGGTTCTAAATGACGGGTGGCGTATTGGTGCTGCTGTTCTCGGAGTTCCTGCTAAAGCAACGATCAAAGAGGTAGGCATTTTCATTTTTTTTGTTACCAAAACTCATTCCATAAGAAATTATAAGGTATATAATCTAAACTTTCATCCAAGATTCGAATACTTTGTGTTATTCCACTGAATTTTAGCTTCTTCGATTCAGGCAAATAGCGAATCCTTTGTGGTGAGAACTCTGGATAGAAAAACTCTTTGGGAAATGCAAACCCCACAGGTTATTGATCTGCATCCAACTTTGTTTGATTAATTTTACCGCTTATTCACTGTATCCTGTTTGAGTAATATTTAACACTCAGCTGCACAACTATCGCAGGTTATTAAGCCAGCCTTGCTTAGGAAAGGATTCGAGCTTGTCAATAGGTAATTCGGTTTACCATTTTTTAGATGATGCTGCAGTAATAGTTCTTGCAACCTTGTATTACCTTTCGATGTCATATTTTTCACTATTCCTTCATTTATTCGACAGAGAAGGACTTGAAGTCACAGATGATGTCTCAATCGTCGAGCATCTTAAACATCCTGTGTACATTACCGAAGGATCCTACACCAACATCAAGGTACGGATATCCCTTTCGCCCCCGCCTAAGATCTTTATTTCGTGTCGAAGCTTTTGTGAGCTGTGTTTGCTCAAAATGCAGGTTACAACCCCCGACGACTTACTACTCGCCGAGAGAATATTGCACACTCCGGCTTGAGAATAATTCATCACGATGACGGTGTAGTTTTAAAAAATTCTTGGAAACATTTCGGGACTGTTTTGTTGAGAGTTGCAATGGAAATAAACTGTCGAAGAAAGCCATTTCAGACATTCTATCTAAGGAAGGAATAAAAACACAGTTCCAATTTTATTCTTACGCTAATAAACCTAAATGTAGTAAAAAAATTGGCGGCGGCGACAGTGTTGTGCTGAACAGCACATTGTGTGCTATTATACAATACATAATATTATTACAAACATCATACTATATATTAATATAATACCAATACAGCACATATTAACAAACACATGCTATAGTTTCAACAACATATTACTACAAATAGTACACAGTTACTACAGTCAATACATTGTATACGTTAATATAATATAAATACAGCGTATAACTAACAGAATACTAATATGTTGTTTGTATATGTAACCTGTGTTATAATTTTTTCAAATCAACAGCGTAAGCATCCCAAAAAAATTAAGTCCCAAATGTAGTAATAACATTATCATCCCTTACATAATCCTCGTACAGATAAGAATCTTAATTAGCAGAAAACGGAAACGAATAGCTTGAAATTTGCATTTCTTCCATAGTTATAACAGCTGCTGTATTGGCCTCTGCCTGTTCTTGCAAACCTTCCAAAACCATAGAAAAAAAATCAAAACTTTTATGCAGACATAGATACATTAGGACAAAATGTAACAACAGCCTACCTTTCTCCCCCTTTTTCTAACTCTGTTTCTTCTCCAACAGAACATTGCGCCGCAGCCGCCTCCGCCTCCGCCCGACCCGGATTCGTATCCCCTGTCAAAGAAATTAGCGTTAAAAAAATCGACGTGTGCATTGACGATGCGAAAAGAGAGGCGTCGATAGACTTTACATGTTATCCTTGGCGAGATTGAGATTGCTCGCCGTGTTGCTGCTGTGTAGTAAGCTCGGGGAAATCGGATAGTGATCGATGGTCTTCACGATCTGCTCGTCTTGAACCGATGATCCGTCGTTAACTCTCAGAGCTTTGATCTCGCGATTCAGCTCGTCTTCCCAATGCTGCGACGGCATGTCGCGAGAATTCACCGTCTCCAATCGACTCGCATTGTCGACGCCGTCCTGCGGTAGGATTTGGTTCCTTTCCGGCCTCAGATGAGCCATCGATCCCGGGGTTCCCTTTTCCATCGCCTGCAGCCATGCAGTTTCCAATCTCTGCTCGTGAATGATCGACTCGATCCGTCGTAGAGGGATTTCCGACGTGCTATCTTTCGCCGCGAGCTCTGAAGACTTCGTCTGATGGCATTCTCGATCTTCTGCAGTATCGATCTTCTTCGAGCAGAAGGCGTCCTTTAGAAGAATCATTTTCACCTCGACGCTGCGTTGCAAGACCGTTTCGAACGAATTCGTGATGCTGCTGAGGAAGCCTTCAGCTCGACTTTTCACCGTGCCGTCGATGAAGGCTATGTGGGCTATGAATTCACCTGATAAACAAGAACAGGAGGTAAATCTTTCATCAGGCATGTTATATTACGCATTCGATTTTTTTTCGGTATGAATCTTACCTTTGATTTCGGATATAGAGACGAGTTTCCCGTAAGAATGAAGCAACTGTCGGAGAGTCTTCGAATGGCACTTGTCGATGCATCGAAGCCAGATACTTTCCAACATTTTCGAGTCGACGCATCTCAATGCTTCTTCTCCTTTACGCGGGCTTTGATGATTCAAACGAACTCTAACAGCGTCACTCAGCGACATTGGATTCCCTTTCGAAGGAGATTCGATTCGTGCGTTAGCTCGTAGATTCTGCAACATAGCTTCTCTCGACATACTGCCATTCTCCTCCTCCGTCGCCCTCAAACTTGGTAGCGGCTGCATTTGATCTACCGACGGTAAAGAACCTAACTGTAACAGGGTCGCCGTGAACCACGTAGAACGGTCGCTCGAAACGCCTAGATGCTTCTCGGCCTGGGAGAGTATCGTTAGCGCATGCTTCAGCCTCTCCACGCCTCTTTCGGTTACTGAAAATCGGAGCTTAAATTGTTACGACACGAGCATTTTTGAATAACCAATGTAACAGTAAATTCGAATGAGGAAGACGAAAGTAATACTCACAACTTCTCCCGCCAAAAAAGGAATCTTCGTTGCCTTCGTGGTGTGTCCCGGCGATGATGTCGACGATAAGGCTCACCATCTGAGACATTAGAACGATTGGATCGACGCCGGAATCCATCAATTCTCGGGCTTTTATCACTGTCTCCGCAGCGTTTGTCGACATGGCTAGCTCCAAAAGTTCGAGCAATTTGTCGTCCGAAACAACCCCAATCTACATCGAATCGAAAACATGACAGTGCGCATTCGTATGTATAGTTTAGTCGAAAGAATTGAGAGACTTACGAGCTCGTTCACCAACGACTTCGTGATTCTTTTCCCGAACAAGCTCAGCTGATCTAACATGGTCTCCGCCTCCCTTACCGAACCATTTGCATTTGACGCGATCAACTCCAGCGCGCTCGATTCGACCTCAAACTTCTCATCGCTCGAAATCTTCCATAGCCTGTTCGCAATGTCGTCGTTGCTGATTTTATTGAAGAGGTGCTTCTGGCACCGAGACACCACGGCGCGCGGCACATTGTCGACATCAGTCGTGATTAGCACAAACACAATACGCGGCATTGGCTTCTCGAGCAGTCGGAGCAACGCCAGCCATGTCTTCGACGGCAGTAAATGGCACTCCTCGACTATAAAAACCTTATAATGCGAAACAGCCACAGAATGGAACATCGAAATGTTTTTCAGATAGTATTTTATGATGTCGATTCCCTTCTTGTTCGAGCCATCGACTTCTCCAAGATAACTACTCTTCCCGGACACAAAATCCGCACATTCGCCGCAGACTCCACAGGGCTTCGTCTCATCACTCGCTCGGCAGTTTAAAGCAGCTGCGAAAACTCTAGCCGCGGACGTCTTCCCCGTTCCACGAGGACCGTGGAAAAGATAAACCGGCGCAATCCTTCTCCTAGAAACCGCGCTTGTAAGCGATTTCACGACAATATTCTGCCCGATCAGCTCCTCGAAAAACATCGGCCTATACTTGTGGCTGAGGCTGCGCGCATTCTCGAGAGAACCTTCCTCCAGTGCGTCGCCATTCAGCACGACGAGCTCCAAACCATCTTGGCTCCTATAACTTGACGACAACCTTCTTCGATCCAATCGACTCAAAGCTTCTAAATCGAGCTCCCCTAAATTTGTCGAGACCTCATCGTCGCTGTTCCCTGTCCCAACAGATGATCCGTTAGTGAGAAGGGGGACAAGGCTTTGGGCTGCGGCCTTGTAGCAATGTCGCTTCTTGCTCGAGCTCAAAGGCGACGATCGATAATGTCTTCGCTTATACAATTTCTGGCTTCCACAAAGAATGATGCTTCCTTTCCTCCTTAAAGTGTCCGACAGAGACGGCGAACAAGAACTCCCGATTCGCGACTTTGGAGTCGACCTCTTCGACCAATAACATGGAATTCCACATCCTTGTCGCCCCGCGGATTCAAACCGATCATCCACATCGTTGTCATCGTCGTCGTTGACTGATCCGGTGGTGGCATCCCAAGACTCGATGAATCGCTTATAAGAGCTACTCGACAGCACTGGCGACCTCTCGTCTTTCCGGCAACGACTCAACAACTTCGCAGGCGTAGGCGTAGGCGTCCATCCCTTGTTCTTGAGCCTCGCGAGAAATGGCGAAAGCGTCGTCGATCTTGTGAAATCCTCGGAATTCAAACAATCCTCTGTTCCCTCGGATCGATCCGCGAAACTCAGCCTGCTTAAACTTAAACTCGGCGAATCATCCGCCGCGACATTTTTGGTCGTGTATCGCCGCAACAGCTCCTGCAGCCGCAACTTATCGATATAATCCCGGGGGCTGTCGCTAGAGTAAGTCTTCCTCTTCGCCTTCTTCTTCATTGCTGCGCCGCCACTGCCGTGCCTAATTGACGGCGGCGTAAAGCTCAGGCTCGCGCCTGTGAACTTGGATATCGCCGTGGCGTATATATCACTCAAGCAAGAATCACTCTTGGAATCATTGCCAACGGCGGCGTCAAGGCTATCGTCTTGAGTCGATGACGATCCCGACGCCTTGCCATTGTCGTCGGCATCATCATCGTCAATGTGGCCACTCCTCCTCCAATTGTAGAGATACACTTTCCTCTGCTTCGAATTCTTAGGATTGTTATTATTGTTACAAGCTTTATGATCTCCAACAACGTTACTACTAATACTACTAAAGTTATCATTAGTTCCCTCCTGCAAATTAAGGTTTTCAGAGAAAGAAGAAGCCATGGCAATGGCGTTAGCGTTACCCTCAGTCTTCACATAGTGGTGGTGGTGCTTGGCGAGGGATCTCGCCGAGCCAATCGGCGACCGCCACGTGGACGAGGTGCCGGGGTCCTTCAGCAGTCGGGCAGCCTTCCGGATTTGGGTCAATTCCTTCTTCAAGTGCAGATTGCTCGGATCAATTCCATTATCCATCCCGCCGCCGTGTAGCTCCGCCGGAATCATTATCAACACCGCCGCAGTCGCAAGTTTATTACAGCCGACACGAAAGGAAGTTCACTAGTGACTACCACATTGTTGTATCGAAGTTTAAGATTGAAATAATGGAGCGCAAGGGGAACTAGGAGGAGGAGCGTAGATCTAACAGGTTTGATTCGATTTGGCAATAATAGGATCTCGAGAAGTGGTCGGAATCCCTAAAATGAATAACCTAGAACGAGGACAGAGAAATGTGAATCGGTTTGGAGAGATTTGTGTAGTAATAAATTTGGGGGTTGTTGAAATCGATGAAATGAAGTTGAATGCATGATAGGGGTTCGTGTTCGTCACTACTTTTGCCTCTTCTTCTTCGAGATTCAGATTCAGTGGGGAAAAGGCAGGCGAGGGCTTTTCACCATTGTTGTCTGAGATATATTTTCTACTTGGGTCTGTGTGAGTATCAGTTTCCCCGCTCCACCCTGCCTGACGCTTTTAGATCGTTTGTCGCTGTCCGCTTTTCATTTCAAATTCTCCATGAATCTCATTCTCAATCAATGCTTTCCATTTTTTATTTTTTTATTATTTTTTAAATAAAATGTTTTTTATAATAATATATGTATATGAACATACATGGTGGTGCCTGTGCTTGTTTAATGGTTTTAACCTAAAATTTGTTTTTTTATAAAATATTAAAAAAATTAAATTAAATATTTATTTCTATATTTAAAATATTTGTCTGACACCAAAGAATTATTACGGTTAAAATTTTAAAAATTTTGTATTATATTGACATAAATTTTATAATGTCAATTTAATTTATATATACTTTATTTATTATTCATTTATATTTCATATATTGTGAACGTAACGTTGAATAATATTACTTCCGACAAGCTCTGAGGGTCTCGTTTACTTTTTTTTGCGTATTGATATTTGAATATCAATTATTACATAAAAATGTAATATAAATTAAAGAAAAATGACAAAAATACTTCTAGTGTCTTATAGTACTGTTATAACGACATTTGTACAAATAATTATACAAATATAAAGATATTATTAATATTAAATACAATGAAACAAAAGATAAATGAGACTCTTAGAGCCGGAAGGGAGAGAATATTATTTACACAGGAACAACCAATCCATGTGGATGGATATATATGCATCATTTAAATAAAGTATTTGAAGATATATATAACTATGTGTTCATTCAATATTATTTTGGGTGACACAATTTTTTATTCAAAATTTAAAAATATAATATATTATATATACATATTAATACAATATATCATATATATACTATATTTATTTAAAAAATCAACAATTTAATTTTTTGGATTTGAAATATCTATGTACATATAAATTTATTAGTTATATACGTCCTGGTTGTAGCTCCTCATTTATTATTTTTGAATGAGAATTTGTTATGGAATGCATATTAAATGAAATTCAATGGCATACGTTGATGTAATTTGAATTTTTAAAAATATGAAATAAATTTAGAATAAATGTTCGAAATGTCACTCCATAAATTTGTACTGTCCATATTTATCAATGCACAATTAATTCGATTCCCATCTAGATTGTTTATAGTAAATATTTGAACTAAAGAACTTCTTAAAGTGTACCAAAAATTAAACAATGAATCTCCCATATGGAAAGATTGGGCGGTGTGGGGGTTAGGCATGTGACCGTAAGGTCATCTGTCGCAAAATTTTCATTGCAAATTTAAAATATGCGAATGTGTTTTTATGAATATCATAAAATTCATCACTATTTTTTTTTTTTTTTTTGTAGTGTAGGTGAACAAATTATTATTATTATTATTAAGGTATGTGATGTTGCAATAATATGGCCATCAATTATTTATTCATCTCTTTGATTTCATTATCAATTATCCTTTAGCCCACCTCAATTATATTTTAGATTCTTAATCTACTTAATTAGATCCATTATTTACTGATCAAAGTGAATAAATAATTTCAAAATCTCTTTTCAATTTAAATCCACACTTATAAATTCATTAACTATATTAATTTTCAGGTGTGTGTTTGGTTTCCCTTTGTGTTCTCTATTTCTATTATGTATCTAAATAATTATTTGAATGTATTTTTATATATAAAAAAAAAAAAATATGTTTGAGAATATATGATAAAGAAATTGAAAATGAATCTAAAAAAGACAAAGACATGTTACCAATATGTTCCAAATAAAACTTCTATTATTTTGATAATGATATTATTAATATAGGCATCTTTAATAACCATGTTCAATGTAACACATATATATATATATAGTTAATAATGATGTATTTCTTTGGGCTTGTATTTTTATTTTGAGTTTCAGATTAAACAGTCATTAGATATAACATTGATTCTCTTAATTATCACATAAAAATAAGATAGACAATATTGTATTATATAAAAATACGTGCTTATATAAATATACTAAAATTAATAATATATTATTATATATTACAAAAATATATATATTTCTTTACCTTATATATATATATATATATATATATTAATTGAATCAAATCAATGATACTATAACCGAAAAAATATATAATAAAATAAAGAAAAATATTATCCATTTTATAAGAAATGGCATTGTAGTATTAAAAATAAAAAAGAAGATACTTATATCATTAATCAATTTATTTATATTATAAAACCCACTATAACTAAATGGTGTTAAAGGTAGACAAGAGAAATAGATGACATTTTTTTTTTTTTTTTACCTTGAAATAATGCGTCATTGTTTTGTGTCACATGAGCACATGCCAAGCAAGTATGACAAATTAATATATGTATATATATATATATGTACCACATAGATAGATTATTGATACATACAAGAAGACTAATAAATAATTTAGGTAGCAATTTTTTTATTGAATTTGCAGGGGACATTGAACATGGGTATGACTATGATCATCCCTGCAAATGCAATAAAACCCAAAACACAAAAACAAAGAATATCACATGGAGTGAGCCCATTCCATTCATTGACTCTCTAATTTCATTCATCACAAAATAATGACATTGCATTCAAAAATTTATTCATACATACATATGCTTGTTTGCATCATTGGATAAGCAGAAAAATAAATAAATAAAATAATAATGGATCTTAGATTAGTGTGTATTAGCGAAGCTAATAATTAATTACTTACAACATATGCCCCAACAATAATTTAGCTTCTTGTCTGTAACACTTTTGTCTTGGCCAATAAATTCTGTCAGAACCCTCCAATAATAATAATAATAATAATAATTTTCAGACACAGGCACAGATATTCATGCATTGGTGATTGCACATTTGAAAATTATAATTATAATATATATATATATATATATTCTCTTAGTCTCAACAGAGAATCCAATACAAGAAAAGTAATTTTAGACATCAGATGTGGAGTTCAATTCCTATCATTACATTACATGTTCAGAAAAAACTATGCTGGGAAAAATGTTAAGACTATTTAAGCTTAATAGCAAGAAATCAAATGTCTTTCTACATCCCCACAAGAACAGAAGCTGAGAAAATGTAAATGAAAAGATTGTTTGAATTTCTTTCCCAGCAGCAGATGTTTCTAATTTTTATATATATATATATATAAAACTGAACCTTTGTTTCCATTCAGACATCGTCGATCGATCGTCACGAAAGGCCCGGGTTAACTCTAGCCCGTTTGTTGCTGCATCCCGGGCACTTGTACTGCTTGATGTGTTCAGCTTTGGCCGGTGTTATCTTCACGCACTTCCCATGGAACCATTTTTCACATACATCGCAGCAAATCCAGAATTCGTCGTTCCCATAATTGTTTCCACAGGCTCCGCACAATGTCGCCCCCTGCTCATCTTCATCCTCATCGACATTGTTGTCTTCTTCCTCATCCTCCTCCTCGTCTTTTGCAGATGTCTTCCCGCCTTTGGGCACCATCTCTGGCTGCCGAGATGGCTGTAAGAAAAGAATGAAATTAACGAGGCTGCAATTAGTATACTGAATCAATGTATTAAGTATAGTGCTGACAACACCTCAAGTATAACCGGATAGCACAAAACAAATAAACAAATAATACACAATTTATGTTAATACTCCCTCTGTTGTCTAAATTTATTCTCACTTTTCTTTCTTAATTGTAATCTAAATTTATTCTCGTTTTCTCTTTTAGTAAAAAAATATCATTTTTTCTACTTTTTCTTTACCCTAAAGAATAAAAGTTTATATTTTTATCTATTTTTTTTAAATCCCGTGTCCGGTCAAAGAGCACGCAATTGGATGACGGAGGAAGTATAATAATACAATACAACAGAACTAACAATACATGACAATAGTTCAAACAACATATGCCAATACTGACATCAGCACATATCATATAGTAGCACAACACAGATAGACAAAGTATTAGATGGTGTAATGAAAATTAATTGGTCGGGAGAGGTTACTTACGGGTCTCCCACCCGACTTGTTCTTGTTGCCGTTGCTTTGCGCGGCAGCTGAATCCTTCCCCTGCTTAATAGCTCCAGTCACAACTTCAGAAACTGTTGGGAGCTCATTAATCATCTGGAAAAGTCTCTTCCTGTAAACATCGATTTTCAGTTTTGGAAAAGCTTGATAAAAAAATGTGCAGAGCATCGATATGAATCCAATAGCAGGTACATTTAAAAGCCACAATAAAAACATTGATCTCATTATCATTTTGAAGGAAAATGCAATAAGAGTTTGCGTTTTTTCGATCAACATGTATGAAAATCTCCGAAAAGAAGCAACAGTTTTCACTCAAAGCCAAGATCACTAGCAGTCAACAATACTTCTTCTTAAAACACACCATTACGAATTAACATTAACTCCGTGTTATGTCGCAATATCCAGGAGAGTTCACAAGAAACTGAGCTAGTGTAGCAACTTACCTTTCACTCTTACCGAATCCGAACCGTGAACCAAAGTAGAATGCAACAGAAAGCAGCCAGGAGTCGCTGTGAATTGCAACAAGGGCTAACCAATCCTTTTCTTGCATTCCATCTCGAGCAAAATTTATCCCAAGTGCTGGCTCCGGAAGTTCCGGGGGCACCTCCTCGATGGGCAAGTTGACTTCCCATGTCTCGTTCGGAAGCCCATATAGACACAGGTTCTCTTTTTCTGAATGAGAAAGTCAATCCGGGACCAGCAGAATGAATAGCAACACACAATATTTCCAGAAATGAAATTTTCTTATTTAAACCGAATGAGAGGTTCTTTTAACTTCCGAAGTACAAATAAGTTGTCACAATTCTCATACACATGGTCAGATTTCTAAACCAGTCTTAATAATTACTATTTGATTACCACATTGCAGTACGGCAAGATTTGTTAAAGCGAAATATTAACTAATTACTGTTATTTTCAACGCCCATACATAATGAATAAAATGTGGACACACCAATCTCAAGAATTATGAAGAAAACTAGAGCATTTGATTTTCCAATTGCACATATCTTTGCCATTTTTTTAGTCACAACAAATAATCCGCATACATATGCAATAGGTATCGAAACTTGGAACTTCCAGGGAGTTATATGGGCACAAAAACCACTAGATTATCATGACTGGTATATATTTCAGCAGATTGAGGATTTTCACAGTTCTTGCACTTCATATATACAAACAAAATATTTCAACTCCCCAAAGCTACATTGAGAAAGGCAGAAGATGAGGCTAAAACAGAACAGCATGTCAAAAGAAAATAAAGCATAGGTTTGACAAAACAGGATTAGATAGAAAGAGAGGAGAAAAATGAAGTGCAACAACGACTGTGCATTCGAATGGTGGACACTGCAAAGAAAGCTCATTAATTTCTTGAGAATATATAAGGTGAGATTATCGTGGCAGATGGTATATCATAGAAGAACCCTTACGAAAAAGGCACCAACAAAAACCAAAACTTACATATCGAACATGGCTGCAAAATGTCACTGGACATGATTTTCAAGGGGGGAATTTTGAGTCCAATCATTAAGGCATTTGGATGAGATGTCAATCTAATCGATCGCAAAGTAAAAAAAAGCCTTCTTGATAATGATTTGGTTACTCTTATATGAAAAATCGAGGACAACACTCATTCGCCACATAATGTGATTGATTCATACTGGAACAGATATAATTAAGCAACGTATACAAACAACCCTATGCAAGTATCACTATAATCATCGTTTAAAAGTAGAGAAAATAATATTACAGACACAAAGTTTTATCAGAAAAACGATGGCAATCAAGTAAAATTGGTGAAAAGAAAAGAACATATGATGGAGAACTCACCTGGATCACACAGCTTATAAACTTTCTCGACATCTGCAAGGAATTCATTCAATCAAACACAGAGTCAGACAAATCAGTATCAAAACTCCAAACTAAATTAGCAGCTGCAAAGGTTGTATTAAGCCCATAAAGATACCAAAAGACAAGTAACACATTAGCACGGCCCCATACACGTTCCATCATGCGTAAACAGTTAAACACACCCACACAGAATCACATTCTCTCCAACAATTTTACAGACGGATAAAAACAAACGACCACAAGCATAAATTGGATTAAAAAATAAAATAAAATAATAGAAAATTGAAAATACCTTCAGTGAGGGCCTTGATGAGGCCCGCTCTGCGGCCTCTGAAATCATTGAAGACTTCCTCTACACTTCTCGGCTCCGGATTCGGAGTTTCGTCCATTTCAATTCCAGCCCTCTTTTGGTGAAACTGAAAAACCCTACGAAAATTGGAGTCGAAATTCAAGGATTCCACCGCGAAATCAAGCGGAGATCGGCTGGATAAGTGCGTTGGGAGGAATTAGGGTTTGGTCGTGGTGAGCCAGTCGATTAAGACCGATTGGGAGATGAAAACAGAAAATCGATTTACCCGTGGGTGTGTGGGCGGTAATTTGTATTCTGGCGAGCGGAAAAGCTGAAATCTGAATTGAGGGAAGGTGGGGTGGAGTGGGTGGGGTGGAGGAGGGAGAGACCAGGCCGACCAGAGAGAGAGACAAACGCGGCACAAAAAATAGTTGAAACGAAGAAGATACGGAACCCAGGGCGGGTTGTAAGAAATTAATAAATAAGTAATAACTGCAATATTGCGGTAATAATAGAGAAATGCATTTTTGGGAATTTAATTTATCTTTTTATTCAAATATATTATTTTATAAAATAAAAAATTAAAAGCAAATTTTTATATAATAGTCTCCAACACCAGGAAGATCTAGACCGTTAATATTTTTCTTTTTTTTTTATGAACGGTTCAGATGGATGTACCGTTGAAACTATATATATATATTTTTTTGAGACTTTGTGGAGTCTTTTTGACGTTGGTGCTACGGTCAACGATATCGTGTGCAATTCGTGCATACAATTTATTATTGGGCTTGGGCCTAAACATCAAATTAAAATTAAAGCCCATAAGGGGTTGATGTTATCCAATTTATTTTAATTATACCCACAGATTTCTTTCAATTCATTATAAGTTTACACATAAAACTATACCATAAAAATATAGGGTACCATAATTGGAAGTTTAACTTTATTGTGGAGCAAAGAGACAATGTTTAATTATATAAGTTATAATGTAAAATTTAAAATTGAAATAATTGTTTGAAAAGTATAAAATATATATTGATATAATAAATAAAGAACAAATTTTATATTTTATAAATACAAAATTTCATAACAAAATACAATTATAAATATACTTGTTAAGCTGTAAAATCGGACTCAAAGTTTGGATCCAACTATGTAGATTGAGCCCACTAGGAACTCACAATTTTGGGACAATCGGCCCATCATGTTTGAAATTGGCCTAGTTTGTATGATTCTTGAAATAGTCCATCAATTGTGAATGTAAAACATCTTCGATTCGACATAATTTGAAAGAGAATTTATTGGGGATCATCAATTTATTATTATTATTATTATTATTTTCTGCAAATTTATTCATTTACTTAATTATTTAATTTTGTAGAGATGGTCACCTTAAGCCTATCAAATCAAATTCGAATTTTACTTTAGTTTATTGTAACAAATCTGACCAACAATAATAATACAGTAATCATTAGTTATTTTATTATCATTTAATTTATAGAAGAAATTTAATTAATTAAATATTATCAAAAACCCTAAAGTAAATTCTCTTAGTTATTATCATTAGTTATTTTATTATTTACTTTAGCTCTTTCCTTTTTTTATTTTCTTTGTTTTTTCTTTCACAAAACAGTAAAATAATTCTCTTATTTTCTAAATTTGATAAAAAAAGACTTATTAATTCTAATGCTTTACTTACTTATGGTTCAAATAAAATTAGTTATAAAAAAATAAAAAATTGTGTGTTTAAAGTGCAAGGATATTTTTTTGCAATATTAAACAAAATTTTAAGATGATGTAGATTTTTCATCAAATTTTGCAGACCATAAGAAATATATTTATATAAATATATATATATATATATATATATTTTCTTCTTCTGTCCTGTTTCATTGCCGGGTGGAGGCTAATGATTTTTTGTTTGTTCCCCCAGCCAGGCTGGTTAAGGAAGCTGTTGACTTGCAGGAGATTAATAGGACAAAAAATGAGATAACAGAAGATGATGATGATGACATCTACTGTTAGGAAATGGTTTTTTCTTTTTTCAATTTTTTTTTTTTTTGGTTTACTATTTAATCCTTTTTATTTTTCTATAAAAATGTAACTATATATCACATTTCACTAGTAATTTTTTTGCACTCTTTATCTATAATATTATCTAAAAATTATCACACTAAATATTCATTTATTTACTATTTATTTTATCAAAAATCATATTATATACTCATATTTTATTGTATTTCATTTTTTTAAAAAAAATAAAATAAAATATCATAGCTAAATCATATACTGGGTGGCTGAGGAGGGTCCCAATATTAATTCCATCACACACACAGAATACAATACATTCTGCAAATTCATGCTCCCTTTGTCTCTCTCTCTCTCTCTCTCTGATCAGTCGTCTGCAAGTCCTCCTCAATTCATTCTTTTTCTTACACTTGTTTCAATCATCACAATATCATCATTCATATATATATTTGTGGTGTATGTATTATTGTATATTTTGTATGTGTGAGGCCAACTGCGACACCTCCTAATAAATGTAGGTTTGTTTTTATTTAATTTCCAACTGTTCCCAGTCACATTTACATCCAAACAGGAGGTACACTTGTTGAATGTTGTTGTTCGACAAAGGATGATATGATGGTGCGGAAATCTGAAAACTCGCAACGACTACTTTTTGAATGTGTTTTGAATAAATTTACGAACAACATGTGGTATGCCAAACCTGGACTATATTATGATTGATTTGATCACTGGAGGTGAAGATCATATATCCTATATTGTTGTGTCACTTTTTATAATTATGTTTTAATTTTTATTTCGAATTGCTATCATTTTTTTCTAAAAAGGAATATTACATTATAGATGCATTATACAAAGTATTAATTTATTTTCTATTAAACTTTGTAATGTTTCTAAAACAACTCAAAACATCAAAAAAAATATTTTATATATATATACACATGTATATATGCATAATTTCTCTTCATTTTTATATAATTAAAAATCAAAGTAAAAAGAGGATTTTGTGTTGATAATGTAAATTATTCACTTTATAAGTTCTCATATGCCTATTCAAAATTTAAAAACAGAAAATCAACCAATAGTTTAAATTAATGCAATAATAATGTGCATTATTAATTTAAACGTGTTGTATTATAATTTAAATCATATGTTGATAGCTCACATTTGATGTAATGTATGAATATATCTATTGTGTCGCGGTTTATGCTAATATATGAATTTCATATATATATTGTTTTTATATTGTATTAACACAAACTTTGTGCTATTACTTTATATTTTATATGTTGCCTATCAATATTTAAAGTATTGTCTGCACTAGGTTAAATAATTTTTATTGCAACATATTTGTGCGTGTATATATATAGAGAGAGAAAGACAACCATACCATAGGAACCCTAGTAAGAAATTGAATCATTATCTAAAAAAGAAAATGTATCTTAGGGAATAATTAGACATGAGTTAACACATCAATACATTATTATCCAAGAAAAACCAAAGAGGCTTTAGACTTCGAGTTAAAACATCAGCTTTAGTCTTAGACAAGAATCTCTATGTAATGTCCACGTTCACATTACATGACATATATTTAACTATATATATATATATATGTGTGTGTGTGTGTGTGTGTGTAAGAAGGATATCCTTTTAAGTCACTTGAAGAAATTGCTGTAGTCTTTCCCTGCCTCCAAAACTGCATTCCAATCCCACATTCTGTCCGAGCTCGAGGTTGCCTGAAGAAACCCTGGAGCAACATTCAGGGCAATGGAAGCCGCCGCCAGCGGCGACTGATCCGGCAGCAAATTAGTGGAGGAGAAGTGTGACAGAGGTGGTGTTTGGACATTGTTAGGACTACTAAACTGATAAGTGACTGAAGCCGGCTGGTGTGGGCTGTAAGAACAAGGGTTCACAAGCCTGTGGAGATCGTCGTCGACTGCGAGGGGAGAAGAGTTGGGGAAGATTGTCGGACAGGTGTTGGATGATATCGAGGATGTGCAGCCATTCTTGGATTGATGATGCAGAATCATCCTATGATCATTTTCTTGATCTGATGTGGCTGCTGCTGAGGGCATTGAGACTAATGGGCTTATGGAGTAAATTTTTTGTTGGGATAGGGCTAGAGTTGTCCCGATGTCGATTTCTGCGCCGGCGCTGCTACTTGGGCTCGACTCGCTTAGTTTTCCATCTGATGAAATCGATCCTATGTAGCTGTTGTTGTTGTTGTTGTTAGCTTGGAGGGTGTCCATGGATTGATCAATTATTTGATTGTGGGATGACTTTGGGGCTTTTGATGATGAGGCCTTTGTCGGGAGGGATCGAGGGAGGGATGGATGATCTTCGACTCCGGCGCGTTTGTAGACGCGGCAAAGGGAGATTTCGCCCTGGAATTTGAAGCAGCTGAAGTGAGGGTTATGGAGAAATAATTTTGGTAAGATGCTTTGATGAACATTGTGATATTTAATTTGTGTTGTGTTGTCTTGTCTTGTGTGATGAAAAAAAAAAAAAAAATGAAAAAGATTGTGAATTTTTTAAAATTGGCTATTTAATGAGTTTCACAAGATTAATGTTACTTTGGGGATGAACATTTAAGAAGTTGCATTAAAAGGGAATACAGAAACACAGCTGAAATATCATTGATCTTATGATTCAAAGTATATATATATATAATTATTTTCAAAATATTGACAGTACATATTTATTTATAAGTGTCAAATTCTTGAGTAAATTCTAGCTAATACAATAGCAAATGTTTTTTTTAAAAAAGGGACCTCACACAATAAATTTCTATATAGCACATGCTATTTTTCAGTGCAAAGTTTTCATCAAATTTTGAATAATTCTCTTCATCTTCCAACTGCAAATTAACTTTCAAACTAAACACACTTCTTAATCTAAGGCTAGCTGATGATCTGATCAATTCTTGAACTTTTTATTGATGAGCTAGGATAGGACTATGGATTTCATTTCTAGGTTAACAAAAATCTTGATGACAAAAGTTTGCCATACATGTGTTGATGTATGCAATCAAATTAATCCAACATTAAAAAAAATATAAGTATTTGATCTGATACCTTAAAAGAAAAATGTAAGAGATCGAATTTTGATTAACCTTTGTAAGGCGTTGAGTATCGTGTTGAGGTAGTCGATATTCGTTCATGATCCAGCTGGTTCGGATCCCTTTCGGCGCCTTCCCGGAGTAGAAAACAAGGGTTTTCTTGAGGCCAATCGACCTGAAATTCTCACCTCTAATCATCCGATCTGCGCCGGTGGCCTTCCAATAGCCGGATTTTGTTACTCGATTAGGCCGATCTCCGTTCCTATATTTCTTGTCCCTCGGCACATAGAAATACCATTCCCTCTCACCTATAGCTGCCAAGGCTGCTCAAGAACACAATCACAAATTAAGACATAATTATATAAACATCCAATTTATTAATTTCTTTCTAGAGATCATATATAACTCGATCATAAGATGTGGATGTGTAATGAATTGAAGAGGGTTTTGTAAGAAGTAGAGATACATATATATTATGGTGCTTGTTTGATTAATTAGTTACCTGGAAGTTCCCAAGGGTCGTGGTGATAAAGATCCAAGAAAGTGATGAGTTCGACATTGAAGCGCTTGCCCTCCACCTTACGGCGGAGGTAAAACTCGACCAGTTCTTCCTCGGTCGGGTGGAACCGAAACCCCGGCATCACGACGTCGTTTTCGTGCTCGCTCTCTTCTTGATGATGGTGATGATTATCATTGTTGTTGTTGTTGTTCATGACTGCTGCAATGGCCATAAAACTTTGGCCCAAAACCCTAAAAAAAATTTGATTCTTTATATTCAGCAGCAATTATTGAGCATCTTCGATCTCCTCCCCTTGTTTGTCGACAATTGGAATTGGAACTCCAAGGAAGAATTGTGTTGTGGACTAATGATTAGTATTTATATATATAATCTGGATCTGGGAAATGTGAAGATGAAGAAAATGAAGGAATAAATAGGGAAGATGGATGTAGAAGGTTGAAGTGAAGGGAGAACCAGAGAATTGAAGATGATGGAATGGAAGGAAGAAGGCGTTTAAGAGAGAGAGAGAGAAAGAGACAGCAGAGGTTGAGGTAGAGGACGACAGGGTGGCTGCTGCCTCAAAGTATGCTATGCTATAGCAATGCAGCTGCTGCTTGCTTGCGGTGCCTTTGGACTCTTATTAATTAATTAGTATATTCCACCATATTTATTTATTTTTATTTAATCAATTAGAATTATTATTATTTTTGACTAAATTAGTTAATGTAAACTAGTGTAGTAGTAATAGATTGATTGTAGCTGTCAAAATAGCTATTAACCGGGTAAGAATTAATTAACCAAATTGATGGGTTTTTGTTTTGCTGACGGTTAAATTTTACTCGATTTAACCTGTTTTAAAGTAGGGTCCGACGTGGCAGAGGGAGAGTAACCTAGCTAGCTGCTTAAATTCATTTTGACAATTTTACTGATATTTAAATAATTTAGTTATTATCATTTATATTCTTATTCAAAGTAAAACATCAATTTTTCAAACTGAAAAAGGTAAAAAAATTGATCAAGATACCCCATCCATTCACTAAAATTAGCCTATTTTGATGTAACACGAAAAAAATATAATAAAATTAATGATATTTATTGTAGATAAACTTACCATTTGACATCAAAATTCTGAATGCATATATAGGTATGGATACTATAATTATTAGAAAATCTATTGAGAGCATTCATTTTTTTTTTAAATTTAAACTTTAGTTTAAATAACATTTTAATTTACAAAAAAATATTTTTTTATTATATATTATAATAATGTGAAAAAATCCATTCATTTCGGATAATACATTTCCATATATATTGTATTTGTACTTCAATGAAATTTTTGTGAGGTTCAATTTATATATATATATATATATATATCTGTTATGAAGTAGAAATATTACTTTTTTTAATCATTAATTTTCTTTTAAAGATATAAAATTGAATTTACACTTTATACTTTTTATATTATATTAAAATTAAATTTTTACATTCAAATATAATTTAATACTTATTTATAGCAAATCAAACACATGTTTTAATTTAAAGTTTTGATATTGAAAATTAACTCCAACTCAATTTCAAAACATACAAAGCAAAATAACTTATTTAATGCTTATATTGTCAAAATATATAGAGGATGGGCAGGCAATTAAAAGTTTGCAAATTTGACTTAATTTAGTGGGGTGAATGAACTAAATTAAAGTGTATTTTTATTTTTCCGTGCAATAATTGGAATATGATAAAACAATATGTGACCATCAACTCGGCAATTTGTGAATTGGCCTGTAAGCACGTGTCACTTTGTCTAATACTCCATTTGCTAATAAAATTACAAATCTACTCATATACCTATAATTTAATTAATTATACTTTTTATCTTGTATATTTTCAATAATATTGTATTTAGTGTTGAGTATTTAATTAATAAGTGAAAGATGAATAAATTATTTGTCCCACATTTTATTTAATTAATTTATTTTATTTGAATAATTAAATAATTAAATAAATAAATAATCAAATAAATAGTTTGTTGCAACTTAATGCAACTGTGGATAGTTTTTTTTTTTCTCTACATGTGACAAAATAACCTAAAAAATATAATATATTATAATACTATATATATTTTTGTTTTTACATACGGAAAACTTCTTCATTCTAATTCTTAGAAAATTCTCTGCAAATTTTCTTCCAAAAAGTTTTCTAATTCGGTTTGCAGAATCTGTTATTCCGTGATAATTCGTTCCATCCTTGAGGCGATCGGTAGAGGGCCGAATTCGCTTCAACGAAATTGCATGTTCGAATGGAATCTGAGATGACTCGAAATTCTCCAAATTCGCTGCTAATCCGGATAGCAGTAGTGGAAGCGACATAAATCTGAATAAATGATATTCAGACTGGCACAATTGTGGAAGAGGACAAGGAGGTTAACAACGTTTCACACTCCTGTTCTCTATATTTCATGACCTCAACCACCTAGTCCAAATGGTGAAGCAGCCTAGAAGGCTGCTGCCGAAAAGATTGCGCCGACAGCGAATGAACAAGGTCTTCAAGCCCGCGATGGAGGAAGCGCAACCTGTTGTTGCCTCCTCCAACTAGCCTATTGGCTGAAGAAAAGAAAAAAAAAAAAAAAAAAAAAGAGATTTTGTTGATACCCGTGTGAAACAGCCTGTTGTTGTTCTGCCTCGTCTGCACCATATGGTTGCAGGACTTACGCAGGGTCTTGTTGCGTCTACATACAATAACAAAATGACTTGGTATATAGCCTGTTGCGATTGCGGACCATGTAACGCAGCCTGTGGCTGCAACTCTCAGGCAGCATGTTGCTGTGGCAACCGAGAAGCCAAAAAAATTCAATGGGCAGATTTTAAAATATGACAACGGAATATGTTGTTTTATTTGACCAGGACAGACTAGCTACTGAAGGCCGCACCTATTGTGCCGGAACGACCTAGGAAGAAAAAAAAAACACACACACACACACAAATTCTAAAAGTCATGAAACACTCAGATTTGATGTGCAAAAGAAAAAAATTATATATTGAATGACTTAAGCTACTCCCTATACCGGTGTCTGCCAGTATGCATTAATGGCTAAGCAGCTGTGGAAGATGTTGGAGAAAAGGCGAAATGGATTCGTCACTCTTTTGAGAACATTCGAGAATGAGACAAACTTGTGTCTGCCATAACCTTTACTACGATAGTAAATCTGTTATCGGCAGAGTAGAAAGTACAATGTACAATGGAATTCGTCCCCGATACAATTCCATAAGATAACTGAACACAAGTAAGGTTATTACGATATACCATGTTGCGTTAAAAGATAAGCTAGCGGATCCGCCAACCAAATAAGTTTACAAACTGATTAGAGGAATATGGTTGAAGCCTGAGGAAAAAGTTTTATAAAGGAAAACCCAACCTAGAAATATTGGAGATCCCAAGAACTAGGTTCAATGGGACAACCTACTTATAAGACTTATGTGCGTCACTGTGGGGATAAAAGACTCAACCTATTCCTGTTAACTAGAAGTGACAGAGTAGAGAGGATAGCAAATAATTGCTTTAATGATTACTAAGTGAGTATTGTATTACTCGAAAATTTAGAAAGATCATCTATGTGAGAGAGAAGTGTGGCCGCTTCAAAGGAGAACTATCCAGGCTCAGTTCTTTAGAAACTTTCGCAGAACCAGAATGGGTTCCATGGCCAAAACAGACCAAACAATGAGAACCGAATTAGACTCACGAATTCAGTGTTGGTATGTAACTCTCTTACTAAGAAATTGAACAGTTCAAGGACAACGTGTCCACTGGACAATTGGTAAAGACTGTATAAGTTCAAAGGCAAACCTACTTATCCTATGCAAAATTCGCTCTTCTTTCATCGAGTATCGTCTTCCTCTTTCATGTGGGGGATTGTTGGGTATTTAAGTAATAAGTGAAAGATGTTATTTGATTAATTTATTTTATTTGAATAATTAAATAAATAAATAAATAGTTTGTTGCAATTGAATGCAACGTGATGTAGAACGTGGACAGTTTTTTTTTTTACACATGGTTAAATACAAAATAACCTGAGAAAATATATTTCCTCATTTTTTTTTTACATACGGAAAACTTCTTCATTCTAATTCTTAGAAAATTCTCTGCAAATTTTCTTCCAAAAAGTTTTCTAATTCGGTTTGCGGAATCTGTTATTCCGTGGTAATTCGTTCTATGCTGGGAAGCGATCGGTAGAGGACCGAATTCGTTTCAAGGAAATTGCGTGCTACGCGATGCTCGAATTTAATTTCGCATCTATTTGATTTTGTGTTTTCGGATTTAGTTGTATCTTAGATTTTACCAAAATATTTTCCAACATTTAGTTCATTATTACATTTATATATATATATATATATATAACTCGACAATAAATATATGGAATAAATAAATATTAATGTTAATAAAGCTCTAGCTAGATAGTAGTAACTAAATACATATAAATTAAAAATATCATATAGGCATTAATTGGTTATTCCCTTTCAATTAATTAGTGATATTATTTAATTAATGAATTTCGTAATTACGCTTATAACCCTTCTTACCTAAACTGGAAATTCCATTTGTAACCCTTTTTAATTAAGCTTGTCACGTGAGGCTGCTAATTAGGATCAAACCCTTAATTAAATTATCTTTTAAATTAATTAATTGTACACTGTACTGTGTGGCTAGCAACCTAGCTAGCTAGCTAACTATCTAGCTAGCTAGGTCATTATTAGAGAGTGTGTTCGGGTAGGCTTATTTAATTAGGATTATTGAGATCTTTAATAATTTCAAACTTGGATATTTAATTTCTTTAATTATATATATGAAATTATGAGGCAGAACGAAGCATTTCATTTTCTTTCGATTGTAAATTTCCCAAGACAATCATATGATATCTACTATATATTTATATATATATATATATATGTGTGTGTGTGAAATACTAATAATTTACAATTAGTGTGTAGTTGTAAAATGTCACAATTAAAGACAAAATATTTACCTAATTTGGTCACTTGAGGCTTACTTTTGTGAAATTCTAATATAAGGTAATTAAATGTTTTTCATAGATTTTTTTGTGTAGATCATATCATTAAGCTTTATAAGGTAATATCAAATATTGTATTTATATTATATAAGCAGTATTTTATACTATTATCGATATATTTTATGTGTTGTCGATATATATTTTGTCTGGTGTAAGCAGTGTGCTGAACACACATCATCTTTCAAAAGTATATTTCAAAATGTTCACTTAACTCTCAAGTAATAATAGCATAATTATGATTTGTTTAGATATGTTTTTGGAGTTTTGAATAAGTTTGATAATAATAAAATGTTGAATATAAAATAGGTATTTGACGAGATAAAAATCGATATTGTATATTATATATTGAATAGATAATATATTTTCAATATAGTATTTTAAATAAAAATAAAAAATAAAAATAGGTGTTTGTTAAATTAAAAAATATCTCATTATCGATTTTGACATTGGAAATTAACCAACATGACTACTTGTGCTTTCATCTTACACAAAAACTATAAGTCTATACAAATTTTCCTTATTG